TTATTTGTTGGGTAAAAAAGCTTGAAAATTTAATACTAGGCTCCTACTATATTGTTACAATGACATTTAAAAAATATTAAAAATCCTTAAGTCACAATTTTTTTTTAGAAGCATTTAAAGTTCAAATCTTGACAAAATACTGAAAAATCACGAAAATCAGCTAATTATTTTGAGTTGAGAATTCATAAAAATTTTTCTTATTAAATCTAAGATTTGAAAATGTAATACAAGGTTATTCATAAGTTTGTCCACCTTTATCAAAAAAAAAAAATGTCTACAAGCAAATCAAATTAAATTTTTATGCGCGTTTGAAGTTCGTATTTTTACAATAATGAATATTATTCACTCGATTTCTCATGTAGCGGTTTTGTTATTTTATTCTTATTCAAAAACGAATAACTGTAGATACATGAAAATTATACTGACTGTTTAAAGTTTCATTTTCTATAAACCATACAATTTTGAAAATATTTTGACTCTTTTTGAGCTGTTTACGGACAATGTCAATTTTCAATTTTGTTAGTTTTTTTTCTATAAATATCAATACATTTTTATTTGTTGGGTAAAAAAAGCGTGAACATTTAATGCAAGGCTCCTGATATATTATTACAATAGCAGTTGAAAGATATTAAAAATACATAAACACGTTTTTTTTTTTAAAGCATTTAAAGTTCGAATTTTGACAAAATTTATCAAATTTAAAATTTAATAATTTATTTGTAGTTAAACATTTATAAAATGTTCAACTTTCATAGCTAAGGATTGAAAATTTAAAACAAGGTTCCACGTAAAAGTTAAATATATAAATTACTTTAGTCACAATAATATCATCATATATACTTAGTAATATCATAGGCTGACTGACCGTTTTCGCTCAGAATCGTTTTTCTTGTACAATTTTATTATATCATTGAAATCAAATTTAACACCGTCCATTACAGTGACCCACTTATAACCTACTGTACAGCAGAGCATCATCCACTTACCCACCTTTTTTCTATTAAATTTAAAATTGTTTAAACGACAATTTAATCAAAAAATAAATGTAGCAAATAATATTATATAGTATCAATAATATTTATATACCTATATATATATACAATAATATCTATTTTATTTACCTTAACAATTTTAAGGTTTATAAATACCTATGCACAAATTACTATTTTTTCATTTGGGAGACTTGTCAAAGCCAATATAATTAGTTTGGTAGATTTTGATGTCTGAAAGCTATTATTTTTTAGTAGGTATTAGCTAAATGATAATAATTTATGTAATTATGTTCTCCAAGTATTTAATCATATAAAAAAACATTGTTAGGTATATCATAGGTATACTAGGAAATACAAATTAAATTGCATTTACAATACTTACTTATATAATATATTATAGTTTTTTATCGCTTTTAAAATGACTAATCAGAAATATGTTTATAAATTCATTAGAAACTATACCGATTATAATAAATACACATGGGCGTGTAAATAAATATATTAGCAATAAACGATTAAAATCCACATGTGATATATATAATATTTAAGTTGATAAAGAATTCATATTTTTGTAATGCATCTAAACTCTTAAATTTATATCGTGGGTTTGGTTTGAATGCAAAGTTTTGATGTAGGTCTGAATCAATCTGCACATTTAGAAATCTGTAGTTAATTCCACACTCGTTGGTACTTGGTGTTAATGTTATACTCGCTTGTGTGTTGATTTTGATCTGGGAGGAGCTTGGTGTCTTCAGAAATGTAAATGTTTCTATAAAGTAATTAGTAAATTTAGGCCTTTAGCAGGAACGCACACAGATAATTAGCTCACTGGAGCCCTATTGCATGGTATTTCCGTCTTTTCTTGACTGTACCTATCTACCTAAAAGTGAAAGTGTCTTACAAGTTCACTTATTTTGGACATAAGCATAGAAATAAATTACAAATGAGAAATTTTAATATGCTATTTGAAAAGTCCAAATTATTAAAAAATATTTTCTTGGCGTTTAGGATTAAGCCAGTATACAGTTTACGTTGTTTATTAGGGTGTGTTGATGTTTGTGACACTCTGCAGATGATAATGGTTGGGCAGTGGAGTTAATTATTCAAGTCTCGAGTATTCTGCATCAGTTATTGTAATATTAGTTTTAACCATGTATACTCGCACATATTCGTCAAGTCGCATTTTTGCAGATACTGTAGCATACTGGCTGTTAGAATGTTAGAATTTATTAAACGAATATAATATATATACCTAATAAACTAAACCAAACAGTTCAATATTTCAATATTTACATTATGTTATACATATATAGTATAAATGTTTTAAAAACATAATAATATGTATTATTATATTAACTTTATTTTAAGGATGACCACTGATTTAATACATAATAGAAATAATTATTGACAACAATTATATGTGTATGTATTTTAGATTCTGAGCAGAGCGATGAATGTATTGATTTTACAATGATGTGTGTTTTTTTTGTGTTTTTTCACCGTTTGGGCAGTACAAATTCTCCGATTTTTTTCAACAGTATATTTTCGATGGAAAAGTGAATCTAGTTGGTGCATTTGGGAAGTAAAAAAAACAAGAAAAACGGGAATTTTTATGCATATTTGGTTTTAAACAAAATCTATTTTCGTTTTAATCTTTACAATGTTTATATTACCATTTTCTATACACCATAAAACTTTCAAAATATTTTGACTTGTTTTGAGCTATTTAGGACATTTTCAGTTTCCAATTCTTTTAGTTTTTTTTTTTCTATAAATTTCAAAAAAAAAATTATTTGTTGGGTCTAAAAGCGTGAAAATGTAATACTAAACGCTCCTGATATATTGTTACAAAATATATAAAATATTATAAATACATATAGTCAACATTATTTTTTATACGCATTTAAAGTTTGATTTTTGACCACATTTATCAAATTGAAACATTATTTTGTAGATAAAAATTTGTAAAATGTCCAACTTTCCAACTATAAGGATTGTAAATTTAAAACAAGATTATATGTAAGTAGGTTCTTCTGTAAACAAAAAAATATAAAAAGGCAATTTTTTTTTTAGTTATTTTATGTTTAAATTTGGGCGAAATTACATATTATAAAGAATTACGATTTTGGTTATTTGTTGTAATTTAAAAATATTACTCGTGCGGGATACTTGAAATTTCACAAGTATATTATTATTTATTAAATACAAATATTAAAATATGATAATATGTTAATAATATTCATTCAATTTACCGCCTACCGTATTATATCATCGAATTCAAATTTAACAAAATCCATTACCGTGACGCACTTTTAACCTAGTGTACAGCAGAGTGACATCCTCTTACCCGCTTTTTTTTTTTGGATTCTCAACGGAGCGATGAATATATTGATTTTACATTGAAGTGTGTTTTATTATTTTTTTTTTTTTATTTGTGACAGATATCTCTTTTTGGGACAATAAAAATGTTTCGATTTTTTTCGTTTACAAAAGTAAAAAATTCACAATAGTTTTCAAAAGTGTCAGGAAAAACAAACAAAATATTATGGAGATTTTTATTTCTTGGTGTAACTCTAAACACAGTTATTTTTTACAGAGATCTTAAATTCAAATTTGGACGAAATTACATATTACAATTTAAAACCAAGAATAACGATTTTAGTTATTTTGTTGTAATTTAAAAATATTATTCGTGTATATGAAACTGTTATAATATATTGTTATATTTTATACACACAATAACTTTTTCAAATGTATTTTTTTTGGTTATGAATTTAACCTACTGTTTGTACTATTAATGTCTAATAGAAAAATAAATTACTTTAATCACAATTATATCATCAAACATTTAACATACTTATTAATATTATAGGCTGTCAGATCGTCTTCGCTCAGAATCGTTTTTCGTATACAATGATTTTATATCATTGATTTAAAATTTAACACATCCGTTACAGTGACTTTCTAGACACCTAATATAGTAATGTACAGTAGAGCGTTACCCACTTACCCGCTTTTTATATAACATCATTTGTATAGGTACAAGTGTACAACTTATATTTTAAATAATTATCTGTATGCGTATATTATAACTTCAAGTAAATATTAGACTTTTTTAATTAAGCCGAAAAAGGAATGATACGGCTTTGGTTGAAATGAAGGGTCTCGCCTATGTACTGAGCATCATCGATCGAAATTAAAACGAAGATCGGCCAAGTATAGTTACAAAGCGCAATCTTGTATAAAAAAAATAAAATAAAAAAATTATATAAACGACTTACAAATATACGTATATATATATATATAATATTTAGAGCAAGGACATTTTGTATACGTCGTACGTTGTACAGGTTCGAGTATGCCTTTGAGTAGGATTGTTCAAACACACATTGCGCGCAGACATTTTACGTTTTACGTTTTACGCGCAGTTTTTACGTATACGAGCCCAATAAGTGTGTACTATTGTTTCATTACGCACTCGATAAACTGATTAAATCTAATACACTATACATTATTATGTACTATAATTCGTGTAATCACTGCCGGGGGAGTTCGTCATAATAATAATAATAATAATAATCATAGTACATGTATATACAATATTATATATTTACTCGTGCACTGCGTGGCACCGAGATAAGTGGTCGCCAAATGTCTGTGATCGCTGGTTGGTCGCTACTGGTCGGCTATTCGTTTAACTCGCGTTGATGAACAGTAATTTATTCCGCTATATATCCGTTTGTAATTTTCCTCTGGAGGTGTCATTCGGTCGTCTCGCGCGCGAGACTGTTATACAATTCAATATTGTATCATAAATAGTAAACGTAGGTACCTAAACGGTTTTCGAGAGACGCGCTTGTTTTTTTTTTGTATTCGCGCCCGATTATTTTATTATAATATTATATTGCTTAGAATATATAAACAATAAATAAAAAATAGTCAATTGTCTTTTTCGTCCATTAATACGATTTCGGTCATTACTTAATAATAATTATATACACACATAAAATGTCTACGAATAACCAAACGGATCCAAAAAAAGGAGATGACCAAAAACGTGCCGTTCAACTTAACCAAGTACCACCACTACCAGGTACTATAATATATATATATATACATATATGTAATTTATCGTCATAATTTACACCTCATTTCATTTTATTCTGTGTGGTTGACATGTTTTATGTATAATTCAATAGGTAGGGTAAAAATTATTTGTTGAGAAAAATTCACTCAAACAATTTATTTTTCTATTGTATGGCAGAATAATATTATATAATGTGTTTTTTCGTTTTAATATCTCATTAAGGCCATGCAAATAATCAATATTTAAATAAAATACAGCCTCTGTAGGTTATAGTACAAAGATACTAATGATAATTGATGTACCTACATTATACATATTACACACATACAATTATAATATATTGGTAAAAAACCTTGTCGTTAATTTCCACAAAATATCTGCATGATGTAGATACATAAGTTTTAATCGTCCATAATCGTTTCTATATCGTTAAGTCTCGTCGAACTGTAGAACATCATTTTTTTTATCAAAACAATATATTTTTTTGATTTTATAATATTATTTTCTTTCTTTCATTTAATTGGGTAATAACTTTTTGTTAATTAATAATTATAATTTATAGGCAGCAGGAATGTCTAGGTACATAATTTCAATATTTGACAATTTCAACTAACAAGATTTTTTTGTCCGTTAACCGCAATGTAGTTATGCAATTGCTATTAACTAATAACTATGACTGAGGTTAGATTTTGGCTTGTATATTTATTTCGATTTCTCAAATTCAAATATATGCATTTATATGTGATGTCTCTATATTTATAGTGATTAGTTGACTATTTTTAATTTAATTTATGCGCATTCTTATTTTCATTCGAATCCCGATGTATTTTTTTGATGGAAAACGATGATTAAAACGTCTAACACATGATTTATTTAATTTTTTTGTTTATAATTTACGGTCATCATTAAATATGAGATCATTCATTCACTCGTCTATCGCAATATTTTCGTTGACAAGATTATACAGCTGTCAGCCATATAGGATGTGTTTCGTCAAAAACAATCGAAACATGACAAATATTAACGAAAATGATTTTACGGAATTATCATTTCCATCATCCATCTACGAAATAGGTGCACATATTGCTGACAAAAAAATGGCGACCCGTCCACACAACGGTGTTACAATCGTTACATATATGTTGTTCTTATATAAATATAATAATATATTATCAATTATGAATGCGTATATGTAAATAAGTGTTTTACTCGTTTCATAAAATAATAATACGTTCGTCGACAGACAAGTGTTATTAATAAGAATACACATTGGAATGTACGTTACAATATAACATTATATAGGACATAGGGCGTATAGGTATACGATCGACATAAGTTTAAAAAACAAAAATTTTTCTCGTTCTCAAGTTACGAAAATATTTTGGAACAACTCGACGTTTACATTATAATGATAATCGTTCTATTGAACGAGATAAAACAAAAAACAAAACTCCCTCTGTATACCAAATACTCGCGTCGTTAAAATGTATAGGTACAGGTACACACTGCAGCACACGAGACGCTGCAGTAGGTATTTTAAGTTGATTGTTACGAATCAAAAGCATAATGAACTATTGAACTGATAATAATATATGCATCGAAGAGAACCGGGAGTCAATGAATATAGTTATACCAAACCCCTTGACGCAGGACGCGAGTGACAAGCTTAAGAGAAAACGAACGTAATGTTATATTAGCTTAATAATAATACCTATGTGATTCAATTGCATAATAATAATAATAATAATATGTGCACTGGTAATTTACCCACTATACGTAGATAATATTGTTCTGTGTTATTGGAAAATCGAAATTTATAAAGGATCTTACCGATTAATATTACTTAAATCGCATTCAATAATAACACAATTATATAAACATTATATTATATGTAATATTATAGTGTTTTAATGTTAATTTGAAAACTAATAATGTTTATAAAAAGTTTAATATTCTTCGAATGTGTCCTACAATATAATTTATGTAATCGCCGACTATTATGGATTCATATAATCATATTTAAAAAATACTCGTTTTGATTCGTATGTAAATATTACTATATTAGGTTTGTAGACGTTTCAATAGGCTTTTGATTGAATAGCCAAAAAAAAATGTTTAATTTATCCAATTACAGTTAATATTATTTACGACGCACTTCTTTATATTATACATTTATACCCTATATAATATTATCAATTGGTATTTTAAATAACGTTAATATGTTAAATACGCTGACAATAGGCATTTTCTTAGTATCTTATAATCTAGAATTTAACCGTATTATTGTATGAATAACCAAACATTTTATAATATTATGTAGGTATGTATGTTTAAACAAGTGAGTGTATATAAACATATCTGGCAAAAATGATTGGGAAAACAATTTCTACGTGCGTCCGCTATCGTGGTGTGTTTTTGTAAATTAAATTAATTTTGTAGACATTGTTATTAAATAAAAACCCTAACCCATACGTAAAAGGTCATACATTTTTTTCTTTATATTCTGTAAGTTGGTACCTACCTACCTATACCTATATTACAAAATACAAGGCGGCAACACAGCACTGATTTAAAATGTCATTGTGTGCTAATGTCTTACGTACATACGCTTATTTACTACCTATATGACATGATATCATGGAAATTAAAAACAAACAATATAATAATATATTATTTAGATTTAAATAGTAAATTTTTACGTAGATTTAAATATTTGTGGAGGAAAATTCAATTTCAGTTTTTGAACGAAATTATAAATTTGATTAGAAACAAGTGTTACCTACCGAGAACATTGGGGTTTTAGACACGTACATATATGCAGGAACAGTTGACCTATATTTTGTAAAATTTCGATCTATCACTGTCGAGATCGGTCATGTATTGCATTCATATATAATATTATATACGGTAGTCGGTAGGTGTAAAATAGTCATGTAGGTACTCCACGCATAGTTTGCGCCGAGTACTATTATAATGTGCAGTGTGTCTGTGTCTAGGGTTCAATATTCAATTCCTGATTCCTCTGCCGGTTTGGTTATTATTCACACACTTATATATATATATATATATATATATATATCATTTTTTTTTTATCGAACTATATAGAATGTGTGCTTTTACAAAACCTTTCCTATAACGTCATACCTACCTATATCGAGTGTCGATGAGTGGGCAAAGGTGTAGAAAATAAAATACTATATACTCGCCGTACAAAAATTATCAAATTTTAAAATACCTATATCAATCGATAGAAAAGTGATCGTTAAACGCGGTTGTATTCCTTTTAACGTTCAGTAAACTGTACCAATATATTATTATTATAGATTATCATGCTCATTAAGTGCAGGTTTACTTTTACTATGCTCAGATTATAATATTATGTTGCATACTATATTACTATATTATAATTAATTGTCAAAAAATTAAAAGGATCAAAGTTCATAAAATATTTTATTATGCGTTCCGATAAACTTCACATAATAATACACCAACAATACGTAATACTTATAATTAGAAGTTTATTATTATTACTTTTTGTTTTTGTTACTTTATTATGTACATAATATACTACATAGGTAATACATATTATATTAATGGTGGTTTATCGTTTATTATCAATGTGTAAAAAAAATATACATATACTACAGGGTTAACGACTGTAATAACACATAATAACGATGGTCTCAGGCCAAATATACATTTATTTGGATACTTATAAACGCTGGCACATAAATATATTTTGTAGTGAAAATTACAAAAAAAAACCTATACAATTTTGAAATATTTTGTTTTGTTAAAATATTAATTTTCATCACGATTTTTACCCGTGGTTTTTACTTTTTTAGCTCATATCAATATATTATCATCGATTATAATATTGTACAAGTTAATAGTACAGTTAAATCGAGTATAATCAGTGATAAATCTGTTAATAATGGTTCTACTCTCTAATAGTAAAGATACTCAAAATGAGCATTAGAGACATAAATAACATTCAATTTTTAATTTTCACAGCTAAATGTAGTATTTACTTATTGACAATATATTTTTACTAATGATCTATAGTAGATATAACGTAGTAAATTTGTATTTTATAACACTATAGTTATTGGGTAGGTTGTGTTAAATATAATCGAATATAATCAAATATTAGAATAAGCAACAAATCATTATTAGATAGAAAATATAGTACCTATATAGGAACGTGTTACTTGTCTATCACATTCATCAATATTCATATATTATTATATAGATATGTTTAAATACATAATATATATATATCATGTATTAGATTTAAGAAATTGTATGACGGACAGACGGCATAGTATACCTAAATTATATCAGAATATCATTTTCAGTATTGCAAACGTTCAGGCCGTACAGTATACGTTAATATAATTTGGAGAAAATATAAAATAACTGGCATGCCGAGCATAAACAATTTATAAAAAATACAGTATTATTCCACTTAAAAGCGTATAACCTATAGCTATAACCTTTGTGATGCATGATCGTATCGTTACGTGGGTATATATTATAACTACTTAAAGAATGTTAAACAGGTGTCTTGCGTTGTCAACAGTGTTGCACAATACTCACGAAATTTTTGGAAATTGCAGATTTCGCGTAGGGATTAAGAATGTGTATACTATCATAACATAATATATATTTACCCTGTTGTGAAATGTAAATTATAATGTATATGGTGTATTACACCATTACGTATTGTTCATATAGACGCCCACTCTGCCCTCCTAAGCCAAAAGGCAGTAAGAAACAATGTAGTAGTTTTGAGAAAAAAAACTTTTTCTGAATCGCCTTGTTATTTTTATCATATTTTTAAAACTAATAAGTATCTCTACCTATATATAGTTTATACTGTCATGAAAAGTGAAAATAAATAATTATTTAATTTTAATTAATGGTCTGCAGAACTTAGTATTTGTTACCATATTATACATTTATTATGGGTACTCACTATAGGTACTCGTATTATAATATAACGT